AAAATAAGTGAGTAAGAAAAAGCTAAGGACCTTATGATTTCACTAATATGTGGGATATAAAACTGAAACTCATAGATACAGACCACAGTATGGTGGTTGCCAGAGGGAAGAACGTGAGGGTAAAGGGTAAAGGGGGCCAAGTATATGGTGACACAAGATGATCTGATTTTGTGTGGTAGGCACACAATGCAATATACAGATCATGTATCATAGAAATGTACACTTGAAACCTATATAATCTTATTAACCAATGTCACTCCAATTCGTTTAGGTTTTCTTAAAGTGAGTAACTCACAAAATTATTCATCTGTAGACTATTTGGATAATATATGCCTATCAATCAATAATCATTCTCAAGTTATGTATAAATATGGAGAAATTACTTGAAATATATACAAAGTACTCAAAGAAACAAGAATAATGATAGAAAACTAATTAAAGGTAGCTAATTTTCAATAATAAAATTTCCATCATTTTAAATAAAGATATAAAATCAACAAATCCTCCAATTTGATTTAATCAATGTTTGCCTATATTCAGAATTGTCTTGCATTTTAACAACCCAGAAGCATTTCTGGAAGCTATAAAAAAAAACAAAAAACACCTTTTTTTTTTACAATAGATTAGCAGTACTCATCAAGAGGGATGAACTGCATTCTGATAAACTCTATAGTATTTCTGAAGCTATAATATTACAAGCCACTGAGAAAATAGAATAAGTAATTAGTTTGTGATCTCACTTATATGTGGAATCTAAAGAACTTAATAAATTGATGAACAGAAATGATTCAATGACATGGAAGCATGGATCAGCCTGATGAGTGTCAGAGGGATGGAGGAGGGCGGGTGGGTGGAGGGGGAGAGAGTAACCAAAGAACTTATATGCACAACCCAAGGACACGGACAGTGGTGGGGAGAGGGACTGGAGAGGGGGGTGGGATGGGGTGGAATGGGTCACTGGGGAGGAAAAGGGACATCTGTAATATTCTGAACAAAAATAAAATAAAAAACAAAACACACACACAAAAGGAATAAATTACAAAAGACAAGACAAAAAAAAATTAGTTTGCAAACTACACTAATTTTTCTATCAAAGATATTGCTTATGCTATTGAAAAAGTGAACACTACCTTCATGAGATATGTTTAATTAACTTCTAAGATAATTGTATTTTTTCCTAAAATAATTTCCTGTGGGAATGTGATACAGAAATCACAATGTTATTTTCATGAGAAATGATCTATCTATACCTTCTACACGAAGGCTCAGTCATGTTCAGCTATGCATTGTTGTGTCTTATATGCTATGCATTGCTAAGTTATCATTCACTTAAATATTTGATGTTAATAAAAATTATGCTTATACTTTAACGGTTTTCTTCATTTAAAAATCTTAAAATAACCTTTACTTACTACACAGCAGTGCATGTTCATATAGAGAAATCAATTAAAACCTGAAAAATAAAATCTTTAACAAGCCTAAGGTTGTTACTAAGATATTATTTTCTCAGTGAGGCCTTCTCTGATAACATTATTTGAAAGGGATTCACTATCCACTGTGAACCCTTGGTCTTCTTTTTCTCTCTTATTTTTCTCCATAGCATTTATAACTACCTGGTACTTTTCCTTCCTTCCCTCTCTCCCTCCTTCCCTTCCTTACTTCCTTTTCTTTCTTCTATCATCTACTGATCCATATTTTTGTTCATTTATTAAATGTCCCTTATACCTGAGCTTAAGCTCTATGAAATAATGTTTATACTGTTTTGTTCACTGTTGTTTCACAAGTCCCTGGAACAGTGCTTAATACATAAGAGAAAATGCTCCACTAGCTCCTTCAGTAGAGCAGGAGACTCTTAATGCATAAGAGGCTCTCAGTGCACATTTGTTAAATGATTGATCAAATGAATCCTATCTTGTTACCAGATTTGAAAATACCACTTAAAAATATTTCGTAGTACTCCACTTAGTTGATGTATTAAAATTAGTAAAACCCTATTTTTCTTTCATTTAGGACATTTTAAACTTTTCATAACTAATACTCTTTGATGAATATCCTTGATGCTTAAATGTAGGGCATATCATTAATTATTTCCTTAGGGTAATTCCGGAAGTATAATTCTGGGGTTAAATGGCACGTCCATTTGAAACATTCTGCCTGCCTGTCCTTGAGAATTGCTGATATCAATTTATACTTCCACCATGATGTATGAGAGTCCCAATTTTCCCCACTCTCAATATTTTCATTCATTTTTTTTAAGTTTACTGATTATTTCCCTCCTCTAAATGTTCAAAAACAGGTCAATATGAGAAATAAAAAGCAATGTTTAAGTCTTTTGCCACTTAGCAATTTTACTTTACCTAAGCTAAATCAACCATAAAATCATTTATATATCCATGAATTAAAACTTGGTGCAATAAGAGTAAGTTGCTTTATAATGTGATATATCTCATTCAATAATTTCTTCATTAAATAATTCTAATGTGTTTGACTGGTTATACTGATTGCAAAAATACTATTTCCCTCTTTAATTTAGACTAATAAAAATTATTTATCAAGCTGTTTTTATCCTTGTTAAATATATGAAGTAAAAAAAAAGACTTCATTTATGAATAAAACAATTTATATATTATTAATAAAAGTTCTAAAGTAATTTGAAATAAATACAAGCCTATAAACTGTTAAGTGACTGAATGAATGTCCTATAAGTTTGTAAGTCCCATGAGAATATTATTCATATATCAATCAAACTTTTAACTCATAATATACCATTCACCAACCTCAGTTCTTAACATTTAACATAACCTACACATGTAAGTTATTCAGTAATCAATTTTACTTTGCCAATTATTTTATTTATAGGTAGAAATATAAGAATATACATGTTCTTTAAGTTCTATAAAGCAAGGCATTCAATTCTTCTTAGTAGTGTCATATGTCAAGTAACAAATATGCATATCATGCTCTATAAATTTATTCAAGCAATTTTATAGTTTCGTTTATGTTGTACATGTATGTATACGTATATTAAGAGAAAATAATTTATCTGACTCATAAATTTAATATATAACCCAAGAAAGTCCTTCTCCTTTGTATTAAGGTAAAACAAAATTACCAATGTTTAAATGACAAATAATAGGGTTAATAAACACACTTTTTCCTTATTTTATTTCTAAGAAAATAAAAAAGGAATGAATATCATTCATAGGATAAACATTGATACAAAGCATATAACCAATAAAACTATTATCACTGTTTTAAAAACAATATTTTTTAATCAAAAGTCATATCAGGCATCCCCAGCAAAAGTTAGATGGTATTAAGAATTATAAACAGAAATGGGCTAATCTCATTTTAAAGCAGAAAACCATATTAGTAAGTATATATTAAGAGAATCAAGAATTATTTGTCATATTGATCAATAAAAAACCTAATCTAAGTAAAAATCAAATAAAAAATAAAGAATCTAGAGAGTTGATAACATCACACCTGAATATTTTGATTGGATCAATGTAACAAAGTTAAGACAAATGGAAGTTAATTTTCAGTTACCAAAACGAAGCAAGGATATTAGTTGAATTGGCCTTGGTCACCTATTATATCTGTGTTAGGAACCTATTTTGGACTGCATACCGTAAGATAACAGGCTAAATTTCAAAGAATGGGCAATTCTATAATTATTACAATATCTGTACACATCAGAGGAAATCAAATTTCATGTATAATGGCATCAGGTAATAGCTTCAGAAATCCATAGTTTTTCTAATGTGTTGATTGTAGAGGCATGTGGGATTTCTGCTATCATTTCTTTGAAGTACAAGGCTACTTTAAGATGCAGGATGACACACAATGAATTTTTAGTTGAATCATGTGATGAACTATTTTCATTTAGCAAGCTGGCTACTTTATCTACAATTGTATAGTGATTTTGACAGTCACTGTGTCTTTGACTTTCAACTAATAACTGTCTTCATAATGAAGATATTCCCCTTTCCCAAATTCTTTCAGAAGCTAGTGTTGGCTTTGGATAGTATGGACATTTTAATGATGTTAATTCTTCCTACCCATGAACATGGTACATGCTTCCACTTATTTATATCTTCCTTAATTTCTTTCTTCAATGTCCTATAGCTTTCCAAGCACAGGTCTTTTACCTCCTTGTTTAAATTTATTCCTAGGTACCTTATTTTTTGCTGTTGCAATAGTAAATGAATTATTTTCTCAATTTCTCTTTCTTATAGTTTAATATTGGTGTATAAAAATGCCACTGACTTTTGAATATTAATTTTGTACCCTGCTACTTTACTGAAATCATTTATTAGATCTATCTGGGGGAGTCTGTAGGGTTTCCTATATATAATATTATGTCATCTGTGAAAAATGACAGTTTTACTTCTTCCTTTCCAATTTAGATGCCTTTGTGTCTGATTGCTTTGGCTAGGACTTCCAGTACTATGTTGAATAAGAGTAGTGAAAGCAGGCATTCCTGTCTTGTTCCTGATCTTAAGGGAAATGCTTTTACTTTTTACACATTGAGTATGATGTTGGCTGTATTTTATTTTGTTTTTTGCAATTTTAACCGCCCAAATAAATGTTTATCATTTTATGTAGCTGCTTTCTTGACATCTAAGAGAAGTTAAAATAATACTAGGACACTGGCATGATGTGTATGTTTCATAAAACTGACGTTAAAACCATGGTTAAGTACCTTTCTCCTCTCACAGTTCTAGCATATTGAGAATTTTGGGTTTTCCCCTAATAGAAGATAATTTTATTAGCTTAAGAAAATTGCTAAAATTGTCTTTGGTAAAATTAAGAGACACGAAACACAAAACAAATCTTAACTTAAAAAACAACAACACTAAAATCTTTCACTGAATAAGCAGCGTTTTTTTGTCCTACACAATTAAAAGAGGCATGGTAAATGTGAATGTATGTTCACAATAGTCTGTTTTAATGCTGAAACCTTAAATTTCACCCCCCATAGTTTTAAAAATACAGTCTTACTTATCTGGTCCTTCAGTTATTTTGTACAGGCACCGAAGAGTTGTGCTAAGAAAGGTGGTATGTTTTATTTTATCCACAGAACTACAAGGTGGAAAGTATCTCCGTTGAACTTGTGACATCTCATATAAGTTTTGAACACCGCAGCAGCCTGGTACTGAAATATCCTGAAAAAAATTGCAATAGATAAGCATAAATATATCTTAGATAGAAAATATCCAAGACAATGTACAGATGATGTATTGTAGAATTGTACACATGAAACCTGTTTAATTTTATTAACCAATGTCACCCCAATAAATTTAATTTTTAAAAAATGAAAATACCCAAGAAAATACAGCCTAGATGTTCATACTAAGCAATGGTATAAGTAGAAAAATATTAGAATTTCTTTAATTAATTATTAAAAATAGAAATTTAAAAGAGTATCCTTAAACCTGTGTCCTCCTAATAAAAGTGTAAATTCATTTGTGAAAAATTAAGGTAAAATGAACAGAACTATAAAATTTAGATCCATATTCTCAAAATAAAATTACCTACATAATACAGATCAAACTCTCAGTTTTAAATTTCATAATGAAAATAAAATTTCACATAGGAGTGAGAGCAATGATTATTGTTACACAAGCAGCAAAAATATTTGTTTTACTTTTCTATGTGAGCATACTTTAATTATTCTACAAATGAGACTTCTTATTTTGTTTTTAATAGATCCAATTAAGTTGAAAGGCTTCCCCTTTCACTATTTATGGCTCTTTTTATGCTCTACAGTTATATTAATATTTTAATCAACATGAACCACATGGATATTAATAACTTGAATAATAATTCTATACCAAATTAAATATAAAATATCATAAATTTGTTGCACAGTTAATTTCTGTAAACCATTAGCTAATTATCTCAATGATAACTTTTTAAAAATAATTTTCCTCAAATTATTTTAAAATATAACACGTTATATATAACACATATCTTCATCTGCATTATGTTTAAAGACCAAACTTTTTAACTTTTAATCATTTTCTGGAAAAAGCTGGTCTAGCAATACTTTTATCTGACAAAATAGACTTTAAAACCAAGGCTATTGTAAGAGTCAAAGAAGGACACTATATAATGATAAAGGGAACAATCCAACAAGAGGATATAACTCTTGTAAACATTTATGTACCCAACACAGGAGCACCTTAACATGTAAAGCAAATCTTGATGGACATAAAAGGAGAGACTGACAGTAATACAGTCATAATAGGGGATTTTAACACCCCATTGACATCAATGAATAGATCTTCCAAACAAAAATCAACAAGGAAACAGTGGCATTAAATGACACTATAGATTAGATAGATTAAATTGATATCTTCAGACCATTTCACCCCACAGGAATATGGAACATGGAACATTTTCAGTGCACACAGACCATTTTCTAGAATACACCACATGTTAGGAAACAAAACAAGTCTCTAAATTTAAGAAGATTGAAATCATATCAAGCATTGTCTCTGACCATAATGGTATGAAACTAGAAATCAATCACAAGAAAAAAACTGAAAAACACACAGACATGGAGGCTAAATAACATGTTACTAAACAATAATGCGTTAACAAGATCAAGGAAGAAATCAAAAGATACTTTGAAAGAAATGAAAATGAGAACACAACAACCAAAAACCTATGGGACACAGCAAGAGCAGTCTAAAAGGGAAATTCCTAGCATTACAGGCCTACCTCAAGAGACAAAAAAAAAAAAATCTCAAATAAACAATCTAACTTTACATTAAAGGAGTTAGAAAAAGAACAACAAATGAAGTTCAAAGTGAGAAGAAGAAAGGAAATAATGAAGATCAGAGCAGAAATAAATGTAGCAGAATCTAAAAAAATGATACAAAAGAACAATGAGACCAAGAAATGGTTCTTTGAAAAGATAAACAAGATTTGACAAATCTTTAGTCAGACTTATCAGGAGAAAAAGAGAGAGCCCAAATAAATAAAATCAGAAATAAAAGAGGTAAAGTAACAACTGAGATTACAGAAAAGAAGGGATTGTAAAAATATATTACAAACAACTACATGCCAACAAATTGGACAATCTAGACAAAATGGATAAATTCATAGAAATATACAATGTTCCAAAACTGAATCAGGAAGAATCAGATAATCTGAATAAACAGATTACAAATAGAGAAATTGAAACAATAATCAAAAACCCAACAAACAAAACTTCTGGAGCAGAAGGCTTCATCAGTGAATTTTACCAAACACTGAAAGAAGAACTAACACCTATCCTTCTCAAACTATAGAACGAATTCAAGAGGAAGTAAGACTCCCAAACATTTTATGAGGCTAGTATTACCCTCATTCCATAACCAATTAAAGACGCTACAAAAAAAGAAAATTATAGGCCAATATTCCTGATGAACATAGATGCTAACATACTCCACAAAATAGTAGTAAACCTGACCCAGCAATACATTAAAAAGATCATACATTATGATCAATTGGGATTTATGCAAGGTAGGTATGATATCCGCAAATACAATAAACACGATACATAAACAAATTGTAGGATAAAAACCACATGATCATATAATAGATGCAGAAAAAGCACTTGATTAAATTCAGCACCCATTTATGATAAAAACTCTCAACAAAGTGGGAAGAGAGGGAGCATAGTTCAACATAATAAAGGCCATATATGACAAACCCAAGCCAACATCATACTCAATGGGCAAAAACTACAAGTGTTTCCCTTAAGATTGGGAACAAGGCCTGGATGTCCACTTTCACCACTCTTATTGAAATAGTACTGGAAGTCCTATCCACTGCAATCAGACAAGAAGAATTTAAAAAGGCATCCAAATTGGAAAGGAAGAAGTCAAACGTCCATTATTTGTATATGATATTGTGTAAAGACAACCCTAGAGATTCTTTTCAGAGAGAGTGGGAGGGATAGAGAGAGAGAGAAAAAGAGAGAAACATCGATGTGAGAGAGACACATCAATTGGTTGCCTCCTGCCTGTACCCTGAGACTGGGGCCGGGAATCAAGCCTGTAACCGCCGTACATGCCCTTGACCAGAACTGAACTCATAACCCTTCGGTCCGAAGGCTGATGCTCTAACCACTGAGCAAAACTGGCTAGGGTAGCTACTGATTTCTTAAAGAACTGATAAATGATTTCAGTAAAGTAGCAGGATACAAAATAAATATCTAGAAATCAGTTTCATTTTTATACACCAAGAATGAACTATCAGAAAGGGAAAGTAAGAAAACAATCCCATTCCCAGTTGCTTCAAAAAGAATAAAATTCTTAGGAATAAATTTAACCAAGGATACAAATGACCTCTACTCTGAAAATTATAAGACACTGAAGAAAAAATTGAAGAAGGTACAAATAAGTGTAAACATATACCGCATTAATGGATAGACATCATTAAAATGTCCATACTACCTAAAGCAATCTATAGACTCAATGGAATTCCTATCAAGATACCAATGGAATATTTCACAGAACTAAAACAAATATTCCAAAAATTTATATGACACCACAAAAGACCCTAAATAACAACAGCAATCTTGAGAAAGAAGAACAAAGTTAGAAGATCATGCTACCTGATATCAAACTCTACTACAAAGCAAGGTAATCAAAACAGCATGGTACTGGCATAAAAACAGACATATAGATCAGTGGAATCAAATAGAGAGAACAGGAATAAACTCAGGCCTTTATAATCAATTAATATTTGACAAAGTAGGCAAAAACATACATTAGGGTAAAGGTAGTCTATTCGATAAATGGTGTTTTGAATATTGGACAGAAACATACAAAAAAATGAAACTAGATCACCTTGCACAATACACAAGAATAAACTCAAAATGAATTAAAGACTTAAATATTAGACTCAAAAGCATAAAATTCCTAGAAGAAACATAGGCAGTAAAATCTCAGACATTTCTCTGATATATTTCCTCGGGCAAGGGAAACAAAGGAAAAAATAAACAAATGGACATACATCAAATTAAAAATGTTTTGCACAGCAAAGGAAACCATCAACAAAATGAAAACACAACCCACTGAATGGGAGAACATATTTGCCAGTGATTCACTGAATAAGGGTTTAATATCCAAAATTTATAAAGAACTTATAAAAACAAAAACAAAAAACCCCCAAACAATCCAATTAAAAAATGCGCCAAGAGATCCTTCTTTTTTACAGCCGCATAGTATTCCATGGTATAAATGCACCACAGCTTTTCTATCCACTCATATACTGATAGGCACTTGGGCTGCTTCCAGATCTTAGCTATTATAAATTGTGCTACTATGAACATTGGGGTGCATAAGTTCTTTCCAATTGGTGTTTCGGGTTTCTTAGGATATATTCCTAGAAGTGGGATCACTGGGTCAAATGGCAGTTCAATTTTTAATTTTTTGAGTAAACTTCATACTGTTTTCCATAGTGGCTGCACCAGTCTGCATTCCCACCAGCAGTGTACTAGGGTTCTCTTTTCTCCACAACCTCGCCAGCACTTACTGTTGGTTGATTTTGACAAGTGTGAGGTGATACCTCATTGTGGTTTTAATTTGCATCTCTCTGATGATTAGTGACATTGAGCATTTTTTCATACGTCTCTTGGCCATCCGTATGTCCTCTTTGGAGAAGTGTCTGTTTAGGTCCTTTGCCCATTTTTTAACTGGACTGTTTGTTTTCCTTTTGTTAAGTTGTATGAGTTCCTTATATATTTTGGATATTAACCCTTAATCAGATGTGTCATTGGTATATATGTTCTCCCATACAGTGGGCTCCCTTTTCATTTTGTTGATGGTTTCTTTTGCTGTGCTAAGCTTTTTATTTTGATGTAGTCCCATTTGTTTATTTTCTCCTTTGTTTCTCTTGCCCTAGGAGATGTATCACCAAACATATGGCTGTGGGAGATGTCTGAGATTTTGCTGCCTACATTTTCTTCTAGGGTTTTTATGGTTTCATGTCTTACATTTAAGTCTTTTATCTCTTACCCTTTAGGACAGCATGGATGGAACTGGAGAGTATTATGCTAAGCAAAATAAGCCAGTCAGAGAAAGACAAGTACCACATGGTCTCACTCATATGTGGAATATAATAAACAAAATAAACTGAACAAAATAGATCCAGAAGCATGGAACAGACT